TTTAACTTTCCATTTCTTGGCTAGCTTCTATCCCCTTTGCGCAGCTGTGAACTTTTATCAAAATATGTCAAGGTCAACGGACAGAAGCCTCATCACCACCTGAAGATGGCCGCATGATCATATTCAGAACTTTTAATTGGAAGAGTCATTTGGACTTTGGGGGGTGGGAACAATTCCATTCCTTTGTATATGTGATCTGCGCGCCAATTCCTCAGTTTCGGAATTAAATCTGTAGCTTCCACTTTAATTTCCAGTAAAAGGATAACTTTGCTCTAACCCATGGAGTCTGAGTATTTTTTTCTTGGATCTTGAAGGGAGCACACACTGACACCCAAGTACCTTTGCTCCGAGGACCCCCTTCCTCCACGGATGGTGCTGCAGCAGAATCCTTGGCCGCAGTCCAGGAACCGGTGGACTTGCAGATTCAGGTGTGAGAGGTGCAGTGCCTAGACACTTGGCTGCAGCAGAGGATGGAGGAGATTGGACCTGAATCCCCATGGACTTTGGAGGAGGGTTTACTCAAGCATTGGGGCCGGTTGTACGTACCCACGGGGCCACTTCGAGCCCTTATTATGACTCAGTGTCACGACAACCCTGCAGCTGGCCATTTTGGGTTTTTTAAGAACCTCCATCTTGTAACGGGGACTTTTTGGTGGCCTTAAGTATGGCATGATGTCCACGCCTATGTCACGTCCTGTGTACCATGCAGGCAAGCGAGAACCATGACGGGTGCACCTCGTGGTCTCCTCCAACCTCTGCCGACTCCAGAAAGACCATGGGGAGCGATTTCCATGGACTTCTTGACTCATTTACCGCTGTCCTCTGGATTTACAACTGTGCTGGTGGTGGTCGACATGTTGACAAAAATGGCCCACTTCATTCCGTGTCATAAATTGCCAACGGCCCGTATAACTGCCCGTTTGTTCTTGCAGCATGTTTTTCGTCTTCATGGTCTGCCAGACAGGGTAGTTTCTGACCGCGGTGTACAATTTACAGCCCAATTTTGGAAAAGCCTGATGACCACATTACAGGTGCAGGTGTGCTTGTCGTCGGCACACCATCAAGAGACTGATGGGGGGATGGAGAAGGTCATTGCCATTCTCGAGCAATACTTGTGTTGTTTTGTAAACCAACAGCAGAACAACTGGGCTGATTATCTCCCTCTGGCGGAGTTTGCATTCAACAACTCCCAGCACACCTCCACCCAAATGACACCGTTTTATGCTAATGTGGGGTACCATCCACGGTTCTTCCCTTTGACACTATTAGATTCCCCTGTTACTGAGACCCAGGAATTCCTTTCGGAACTTCACTCAGTTCAGCAGTTAGTTTGGCAGCAACTGATACAGGACAAGGAAGATTACAAGCGGTTCGCAGATCGCTCTTGACGGGCAACATCTCCGCTGGCTGTAGGAGACCGTGTTTGGCTATTCACAAAACATCTTCGGGTCGACCGCCTGATAAAGAAGCTGGACCATCGGTTCATCGGCCCATTTCCCATCAAGGCAGTCATCAACCCCATAGCCTATCGACTGACTCTACCGCGCTCCATGCGAATTCATCCAGTCTTCCACCATTCCTTTTTGGTCCCTGACGCCCCTTCGTGTTATCTCTGACGTCCCACAGCTGTTGATCCACCACCTGTGCCCAGTGAAGATGGCGCAGTAGAAGGCAAGGTGGCCAGCATTAGGGATTCCCGCTGGCTGAAAGGGCAGTTCCAGTATTTGACCGAGAGGCAGGGGGATGGACTGGAGGCCCTCTCCTGGGTGGATGCTTCCACAATCCATGCCCCGGACCCTATATGGATGTTCCATGACCATTTCCCCTTGCAATCACATCCTGACCATCAGACTCGGGGGAAGGGCCCTGCGGTGGGGGATAGTGTTGTGGCCCTGATTCCTGAGCCTATGCTGTCAGAGGAAGAGGACCTGGAAGATGAGGAGGAGGAACTGGGAATGCCTTCCTCCCCAGGACCTTCCTCTCTGGCAATGCCTTCCTCCCCAGGACCTTCCTCCCTGATAATTCCTTAGGTTCCATCAGACAACCGAGAGGAACAGCCTGAGATTAATCAGGAGGAAGGCATATCGGAGCAGCCCCTGACAGGGAGTAAGGAGGAAGAGTGTTGGCTCAATCTTAAGCAGCGTCGTAGGGAGAAACGTGAGCAGCAACGTAGGAGGCGTGGGAGAGTCAGAGAGTGAGCTGAGTCATTGAGCCACACCCCACAGGGGATAAAAGTGGGTGTGTTTTCTCCTGAAACTTTGTACGGGACAAAGTTTAACCTTACTTCAGATTTTCTTCGTGAATGACTATTTTTGTGGACTGCCTTGTGATTTTCTGTGAGTAAAACTTTATCAGTTCGGACTTGGAAGGCAGGACATGTGGGAATGCCAAGAATATTATCAGTTCCAAAGAATTAACTCTGTGAAGTCCAAGCCAGCTTGCCTGCCTGTGTTGGTGTGAGTTTGTACTCTTTCATATTTTGGGAAAGAGGAAAGGTGAGACAGAACAAAAAGTTATATAGGAAACATGTATAATTTATCTTTGGGCATCAAAATTCTGAATCTTTGATGTTTTGAGCAATATATGACTGGAATTAGATAAAACAAATTATGTGCTTGTACTCACCTCCTCTCTTTTGTAACTGACATTCAGAAAATCTTAATATCTCTTCTTTATGTATTGTCCAAGCTCATATTGCTGCTGCATTCCAATCTATGAAAAAACAATATAGCCATGAGTTACTTAAAAAGAAAAATACACTTTCCAGTTCGCATGAACTAATAGCCATATCTTAAGCTTTTAAGGTAATCCCTGACTTATGACCACAACTGAGCCCAAAATTTCTTTTACTAAGCGGGATAGTTAAGTGAGTTTTGCCCCATTTTATGACCATTCTTGCCAGAGTTGTCAAGTGAACCACTGCAGTTATTAAGTGTGAAAAACTGTTATGACTTTTTAAATGATAAATGGTCATTTTAAATTCAAATGGTCATTAAATAAACTGTTGTAATTTATCTCCTTAAAAATAACTTATTTATTTACTTATTTATTTATTTTGTCAAGCATGTATGAGAAAACAAGTATAAGTTTGAGCATAACATATAAACGTATAAGTATAAATGGGTATAAGTATATACATAATAAATGGTACGAATAAATGGGAACAGTAGGTCAGGGATGGTAGGCACATGGGTGCACTTATGCATCCCCCCTTACAGATCTTTTAGGAATCAAGTGAATTTGAAAGCTATTTTAAATACAAATACGAAACCATTTCATTCATCACACTGGGTGTAAATCCAATGTTTTCTTGTACAAAAATAAAGGTTTGCAGTTATATTTAAAATGCTTCGTCTTTATTTCCAAACCTACTGCGTTATGCAAAACACTCAAGCAATAGGAGTAGATGAAACAAGGAAAAACATTGTGGTTTACAATGCTTACCAAAATTCAGGAATAGAATTAGGAATTCCATGGGGGGAAGGGGGATTGTCTTCTAAGGCGTTCCATGGGAAATGCTGATAGAGCCATGTCTTAAAATATCATTCATAATTGTAAAAATGCTTAGCAATTCCTCAGTAAAATGTTGAGTATTATCTGACCTGTGGGGCTCATTATTTGGCACTATATCATCAATCATTTTGTATTTTATCCATGTAGTTTCTTGGTAAAAACACAGGAATGATTTAGCATTGCCTTCTCCTGCACAGTAAGAATTAACCAAAGTGATAATCTGCCTCTGGCATCTTCCTATATCACTTTGCCAACATAGATGCCTGCTGGTTTCAGCTGGATAGGTGGCATGACAGAAAGGTGGATGGATAGAGAACAGATAAAATGGGTGGGCAGACAGGTAGACAGATACATTTTAATGGAATTGGGCTGTATTTACCAGGGCCAGAATTTTAATTCTTCTCTCTTTTTGAAAATATGAATTTATGTTCTAAAACAATCTCTCTGAATTTTATCCTAGTTCTTTTTCACTTTGAACAAACTGTAACAGAACAATAAATGCTGAGGGGGGAATTCTAAAAGTTGGCATCAAATGCATCTTAAATGTACAGTGCTGGAGAAAGTTATGTAACTGCTACATGCCAATCAATAAAAGTTAATTATAAATCACCTCCCTTTATTTTATGTATTATTTATTGTCTTTACTATTATAGAAAACCGACAGACCTTAGTCAGTTGCCCAAATCCCTGTGGCCATTCACTTTCACTGTGTAAGCCATTGGGATAATTTTCAATAGGACTTCTATCTCCATGTCGATAAATCTAGGAAGAAAGATTATAAGATTATATCACTTTATATATTTTTCATTATAAGCCTTTTGATACATTTTTAATTCCCACCTCCTCTCTTACACACACAGCCGGTGGGAGGGGTGAGAGAGAGAGAAAGAAAGAGAGTTTAATCCTATTAAGTAGTGGGAAAAAATCCAGAAGCTATTCTCTGCAAGTTTCCCCCACCTTGTTTTAGATTAACATAATATAAATATGATATTATGTTATATTAACATATCATAAATAAGCATAAACACCAGCAAGTATTGTGGGCCCAACTGACAAAGGAAAGCTCAAGATCATATTGCTTGGAAACTTGCAGAAGATCCAAATGGATAGATGCAGTGGAGGGGCAATGGCTAGGATGATGATGATGATGAATATAAATAAAAGAATATGAAGAAGCATTTAAACAACCATGCATATGAAACCATGCATTATTTTGATTAAATACTCATAAGAAACTTCAACACAATATATACATAAGAAAAAGGTAACCAAACACTTGAAAAATATCAAAATAATTTTATAATCCTTCAGTTTAAAATCTATAACCTATATATCTTTCCTTACAGTAGGAATTTTTAATTGCTTATATATTGAACTATCTTATATTCTAGATCCTAGAAACAATGGTTGGAAACTAGCCAGAGAGAGGCAACCTGGAATTAAGGACAAACTTTCTAACAGTCAGGACAATTGTGGGTGCTCCATCACTGGGAGTTTTTAGGAAGAGACTAGACTAGGGGTATCAAACTCTAGGCCCAGGAGCCAGATCCAGCCCGTGGGGTACTTAGATCTGGCCTGCAAGGCTGCCCTGGAAACAGCAAAGAACTGGCCTGTGGTGCCTCTGCCAGCAAAAATGGAGCTCTGTTTTCACTGGCAGAGGGTTGAAGGAGGCTGTTGCAGCAAAAAAAATGGAGCTCAGGAGCTTGTTTTCACTGGCAGAGGGTTGAAGGAGGTCATCACAGCCTAAAACAGAGCTCAGGAGCCCGTTTTCACTGGTTGAGCACTTGGGCCACCACACATGATGTCGAGCTGGCCACACCCATCCCAGCCATGCCCACCCCAGCCCCCCAAGGTCAAACACAAGCCTGATGTGGCCCTCAATGAAATTGAGTTTGACACCCCTGTCCTAGGCTATATTATTACTGAAACAATTCTATTATTATGATTGGTCATATAGTCAGCTGTATGTTTAAACTGGATTTGGTATTTTTTTCTATCTTCCTGAGGACCTGGGATAGGCAGATGTTGTTTGATGGTATTAAAGATATTGTCACAGGATGTAAGGTCTTCCAAATAAATGCCTTTTGCAACCAAACCTTTAAAATACCATTTGAACATCATTGGCATTGACTAACAAACTAACAAACCATTGACCAATTGAAAAATGCAGATTTATTTATTTATTTGTTATTATTATTTTACAATCATATAAGTAATGATTGTATACCAATAAAAATACATTAATGTGTATTTAATAATATCCAAAAGTTAGTGGCTCTTTGCTGAAGCATTTCTGAAGAAGACAACAAAGATAAGCTACTATATATTCTACTGCTAAAATTAATTTAAATCTAAGGTTGTCTTCATCCAACATAATAGACATTAAACCTGGGTAAAATATAATATTTATGTTATGTCAAAATTAATAATCATATTATGGCTTTAAAACCTGGCCTAGTTCATACACCATGCTAAAGCAATGATTATCATCCCATAAAACACTGAACTACGAAGTATTGAACACCTTTTTTTAAATCTACAGTGTTGTGCAAAACGTGTTAATGTTTTTAATGTTTTTTTCTGAAGAAGTATTCACCTTTCCACCCATAGTCCTACTAATAGTGCTATCCAATCAATTGCAGCTATTCTCTGCTTTAATTTGTGTTAACATCTCAGTAAGCAAGTTGGTACATGTATGTTTAATTAAAGATGCAAGGCTATCATCACAAATAGCTTCTTAAGTTATGTCACACCTTCTGTCAACTGTACCATCCTGTCTTTCCTATATTACCAAAGTATGTGCTCATATAGTCATGGTAACAAAATTTCACTATAAGAATCATTGTGTTTTTTGCATTCAGTATTATCTGATGTAACTTAAGATGGTTGTTGTTATGTTAAACACAGTAGAATATTTAATTGATTGTTTAAAGATGAGGACAAATAGACTTTGTTAACTTTCAGTCCCACCATTTTACTACCACGTGAGCTTCTAAAGTTAGGTACTAGGTAGAACAATTTAAAGACAATTGAAATAGTGATATCATTCCATCAGGTCAGTCATTATGTATTTAGATTTAGATAAGAATAAGAAAGCTTTCAGGAAATCTTACAACAGAAACTAGGGATCTCCTTTTGTTATATTTCTTTATTAGATAATTATTAGATCTTTAATATATAGAAAGTGTTAATATAAAGATGATAAATGTGTGTTTGTCTTTATAGGTGTTTATTACCTTTTTAAATGTCTATACAGTGTTGTAATTTTAAATGGTGCTGAACAACACTAACTAGTGTTCTGGCCCTAGAATAATGAAATATACATTTCTAGGTTAAAATAAATAGCCAAAAAAGAATTAGACTGCAGTTTTATAGATATACTTTTGAGTAAGTCTCATAACATTCCATGGAAGGTCAAACTATAAATTCTCATACATACATGATTACTCTTATGGAAGAGTAAAAAAATTCTTTTGCATAGAAACTACTTGTTCTAGCACTGAGTTATTGAAGGCCTGGAACCCCAACTTTCATCTTTGGGGCCCCAAACTTCATCTTTAAAAGCACTCATTTTAAAGAAATCTGTTTCAGCACAATACACATGCTGTTCTAAGCTGAACAACATTACTTACACATGGTATTTTCATGATGATAAGAAATATTAACCAATAATTGTACTGCTGTTTTGAATTTCCTGTATGTATCATAAAAAAATAAAAATATAATGCCAGTCTTGCTTAGGGCTCCTCCTGGCCCCTTCACTTCTGGATCAGAAATAGTAATACATTTCCACTTCCCTCAACCTTGCATTATTTATTGGCCCTCATGCCAGTAAATGAACCACAGATTGATGTTTGGCCATCATTATGAGCCTGTCCCTATTTGTAAGCAGAGTAAAAGTCTACAAGAATACACCAATTTATTTATAATAAGTAATATATAAATGCAGTGCTATTAGTCTTGATGTTTTTCATTTTGGTATGTTTATAATGATTTTCCTAGGCCAGGATATACAAGTAGTCCTTGACATATGAGGACAATTGAATGCATAATTTCTGTTTTAAGTGAGACATTTATTACATGTGTTTTGCCCATTTTACAATCTTTCTAGATATAGTTGTTAAGTGAATTACTGCAATTGATAAGTTGGCTATCTGGTTGTTGAGTGAAACTGGCTTTCCCAATAACTTTGCTTGTGAGAAGATCGCAAAAGGTGATCACATGACCGTGGGACACAGCAATGGTCATAAATATGAACCAGTTGCCAAGCATTTCTGTTTTGATCACATGATCATGGGGAGGCTGCAAAGGTAATAACTATGAAAAAAGGTCATAAGTCACATTTTTTTCAGTGCCATTGTAACTTTGAAGGGTCACTAAATCAATTGTTGTAAATCGAAGACTACCTGTATATGATTGTTACCCACTAATTCTCATCTATTGATGAGATTCCATAAAACTGGGGTTTGTCAAGCACCAGTTTTTCGGCTTGCTAATTATTTCTAGCAACTTGCAGTCAAATTTAAAATTTCTCCATATTTTTTCATCATGTATAGATCAGACTGATGTTTCAGTTTAATGTTAGCTAACAGAAAGCATCTCAAATTATCATTGTATACTGAAGATCACTCTGTTGGTACTTGTTATTTTTGTTGGTACTTGTTATTTTTGTTGCAAACTGGCCAATTTCCCCCAGAGCATTTACTGCTGGGTTAAATAATAGCTGTTTCCTGTCTTTTCCTTTCTAGACCTTTTTTCTACAGCAATCCATGCATTTGTGTAATTCTCTGTTTGCAAAACTTTGCTTCCAACAACTGCTAGTGAGTATTTGCAAAGTCTTTTAAAAAACTATTAATAAATCAGCTGAGAAAGCTCAATTGTTTTCTGTTCACCAAGTGTCAAATTTGGTCTGCAGATGGCATTCCAACAATTACTAAGAACGTTGCATGGCAGCAAATCCTGTGGCCATAGTCAACTACAGTTGTAGAATTAAATTCAAGGGCCTTGCTCATACTTTGCTTAGATGAAATATGATCTAGGTAGGAGATAGGACAAACAGGTTTCTGATGGGAAAACACACATAAACACGATTTGGGATGCAAATTTCATCAATAAAGCAAGGATAAAAATAAAAACAGGGTTTCAGGGGATGTTGAGGAAACTGAGAGGTGAGTTTTTTTTAGAGTTGTGTTAGTGCTGATTTGTAGACAACATTGCATTATTGCATGCATGCATCAGTAGTGATAGAACATTCATTCATATTTCATACACAACAATTGTTTGAAATATGGTTTGTCTAATAAGCTATAATCACCACATATAACAAAAATCACAAAGTTTGGTTTAGAAATCCAGTAATTGGAATTATACACAAGCTAAGCCAAATCCAGCATAGAAAAAGTCATCTTGGCATTACATTTGTTATGCAGAAGCAAAGGCATAATTCACTAACATATACCTATCCAGCTATTATTTATTTATTTAGAGGATTTATAACTCATATAAGATTGTAGGTGGTTCAAAATAACCATAACCACATAGATAAAATACTTAACCCTGTGTGCCAGACCAAATAGCCTTTCAACTCAACTTCCCACCCTTCTCTACTGCCTGGGGAAAGAACCAGGTCTTCATGGCCTTGCAGAACCAAATTTAATCCCTTAAAAAAGATAAGGATGGGGATCACTTGGAACATAGCTGGTTGGCTATTCTAGGCTGGTGTGACCATTAAGGTCCCATCAGATAACACCATTTAAGGGGGGGGGGGGACAAGGAGCATGCCCACTTTACCTAATAGGATGGGCATATGTACTCAGTGTATCAGAAATAACCTACCCCTGTGCTATATGGGGATTTAAAAATGATAACCAGCCCATTAAATTGCATTTGGAAACCAGGGCAACTCATACAACAATGGTAAATCATGGGGCACCCAAAACTTCATTCTGGATCAATTGTAGCTTTTGGATAGTCTTCATGGGTGATGAAGCTAATCCACATTGGAAGTGAACTAAGGCATGAAAAACTGTGAATAAGCCTTCTTTGTGAGGGACAATCCACAATCACTCTGAAGTAGTAAACTCCATTGTCATGCTGCTCCAATGTGCTCCATGCTTCTGATTTCAGGCTGACCCTTATTGTACTTTTCAGGATTATGGACAGCTCTTCAATGAAGAGGGGAAAATCCCTTGTTATAAAATCAGGAGAAAATATTTTAAGGTAAAATATTATAGGTCACTGGACATCATCATCACAGAATTCAGCCACATTGATAAAACACGAGCCCGAACAAACTGCACCTATTTCATAACCTTACAAAGGAAGAAAAATTGTACTGAGACTTTGATATGTCTAGAATCACAGATTAATCATGCCAGGCTTGTTTTAAATTAAACTATGTACATTTATAAATCCATTTCCCTTCTTATACTTACTAAAATCACAAATTTCAACTCCTGTCCTAATGTCGATTGGAGAAGAGAAACAATGAGGGCCAGTAGAACAAGGCACAGATTCTTGGAGCTTCTTGCAAAACTTGTTTCTTCCATTCTGCCAGCAGATATGTAAATGCTCTGTCACCAGAACACATGCTTTTTAAGGAACACTAAAGGATGGATACCCAAGAGGTAATTAAAAAAGGAAGTGACAATTATATATATTGATCTATTTATCTACTTAGCATTTTTAAAGCAACTTTAGCCCTGGAAAATGAAAGATATGTATTGGTGAAATCAGATTTCTTTCCAAAACAGATTCAACTTCTATATGCTACAGAGAGATGAACATATTTACACATTGCAATACATAATGTTTTAATTTGATTCAACATGTTTGTGAATTATGAGGTTTAGTATGTTTTATAAAGAAAGTCTTTTCAGTCTTTTCATCTGTGATTAAGCTTAGGACAATGTAGGAACCAGGTTCTCCATTGACAGTCTTTGTGAAAATTTGTGAAACTTTGTGAAAATTTAAGAGGTGTTTACTTTGATGAGTCTTTCAGCAAAGTTTAAAAAATACATGGTATTCCTTTTAAGAAGATTACTACTTCTCAGCCTTCTCAAAGATTGTAAAGCTTCTCAAAGGACCTTTGTAAGGTAAAGTGATTGAGTAAATTACTTTTACTTCCACTTTGGCCCTCACAATGCTAAGAGATTAAATCCAGATCAAATGTGCACACTTTGTATCACTATCAACCATTCTAATTCATAGTAACATAAATTAAAGCAGTAATATCAGTAATAAATTGGCTGAAGCAACACACACTTCTATAACATTAAATAATTTTAATAAATTAATAGTGAAATGCAAAACAAGTCACAACACTAACATAGAGGAAAGAAAGCAAATAATAATTATACAGTGAAGAATGAAAATGTAGATAAATAAGAAAATAAACTAAGCATGACAACCTCCCCCCCCAATTATGGATAATAGTTTAAACCTAATTTCATTCAGAAATTTGCCATTAAATCTGGACTGTATAGCATATAGTATATTATTTTCTGATTCTCATTACATGGATTTTTTTTTTTGAAAAAAGAATAATGAATCCCCATCTTGGATCCATTCCTTAAAGTACAAAAAGTAAGTTTTTCCCTGTTGTATAAATGTATCATCTTTTCCAAGTACCAGAAACAGTAGTTAGTACTTTTGATGATATGACAAAATGTATTTTTAGATATATGCAGAGGTAGGCTGCTGGGGGTTCGCAGAAGTTTGGGAGAGCCCCTAGCTAAGATTCTGTGCAGTTTGAAGAACCCCAAATCCCACTCCTGGCTGGCCCGGCCACCCCACCCCACCCCTCCCAGTAGTCCCCATGCAGCCCGTTTTGGATGCAGGTAAGTACAGGGCACATGTGGAGGCTTGGGGAGAGAGAAAAATGGGCATCCTGGAAGTTTGGGAAGGCAAGAAATGGGCTTGTTTCTGGCTTCCAGAGAGCCTCCGGAGCCCGGGGAGTGCAAAAATGCCCCCCTGCCATGGTGCAGGAGGCAGACTAGGCCACACCCACCATGGCTGTCTCCACCTAGCAACTGGGAGAACCCTCTGCTAAAAATTTTGAAACCCACCCCTGGATATATGTTTTGACATCACATTGAAATCTTTAATTAGAAGATTTCTTCCCAAAATTGGACTGACATATGCAATGTTTTGAAATCAAAACAAGATTATAATTGCAGAAGAATTTACTTTCCTCAGGAAATTGAATTGTTGATTTCTATTCAAGTGCTACATCTGTCAAAGAATCTAAAATAGCAGATACATCACAGACTTCTACAGCATTCAAACCATTATTGTTTAATTAATACATTTCAATTGTAAATATTTTCAAGCTGATATTATGAATGTAATATTCAACACATACTGTTATGTATTGCATACAGTGTACATAGTTGTCAGTTGAAGTTCTCAGTCTGGTCCTCTGTTGGAGCAGGAAAATACTTTCTCTTGTTTGGTTGTTTGGCATCTTTAGAGTATCTTTCAAGGACTTCTTAGGCCCACTGTGATTGCTCAGTGTGGATGACTCCCTACCAAGTTTCCTAGGACTGGACTGACTCTCCTCCCTGGGTCTGGGAATCACTGGCATCAACTCCATCAGTGACTCTGATATTGTGGCCTTAATCTCTGATTTTGCCGACATCTTTGATGGAAGCCTTGTCAGGTATACGGGCACACCCATCTCATTAAACTTTGACCCCTAGGTTGCTCTGATCCGAATGAAGTCGTGAAAAATACCATTCACTTTGCACTCAAAGGTTGATGAACAACTTGACAAGCTCATCAGTCATGGAGTCCTGGAAACTGTCGACCATGCAAAATGGGAGACTCCAATTGTGATCCCTGTGCAGCTGGGCAGTTCTGTCTGCATCTGTGTAGACTATAAATGTACATTACATAAAGTGCTACAGAAAAATGCATACCCAGAGCCCGTGGTCCAGCATCTACTGCTCTCTCTGGGTGAGGGTCAGGTCTTCACTAAACTGGACCTTGCCCAAACCTATCAACAGCTACCAGTTGATGATGCCACAGCTGAGGCTTAGACGATTGTAACACATCAAGGAGCTTTTAGATGTCATTGGCTGCAATTTGGGGTGAGAATGGCACCGGGACTTTTCCAAAGCATGCAAGGCATCCAAGTGTCATCCCCTATTTCAATGACATCTTAGTGTCAATGGACAACAACGCCGAACTCGACCGTCTGTGAGCAGTACTCACCCATTTCCAGGAAGTTGGCCTCAAAGTAAAAAAGAAAAATGCAAGATAGCTGTTCCACAGTAGAGTTCCTTGGCTACCTTATCCATGCTTTGGGGTTACACCCTACACAGGCAAAGGTCCAAACCATCCAGAAAGCTCCCACACCCAAGAACAAGACCGAGCTCCAGGTATTCTTGGGATTCCTAAATTTCTACAGCATCTTCTTGTCACACAAAGCTTCTGTAGCTGAGCCCCTCCATCATTTGCTTGACAAGAAGATGTCTTGGTCCTGAGGCCAAAAAGAAGCTGCTGCCTTCTCTGCTGTCAAGGGGCTACTATCTTCAAACAGCGTCCTAGTGCAGTACAATGAGAATCTTCCCTTAGTTCTCACCTGTGACACCTCTCCATTCGGTGTCAGCACCATTTTAAGCCACCAAATCCCAGATTGAATAGAGGCCCCAACTGCTTTCTTCTCATAGACCTTGTCATCTGCTGAACGAAATTACAGCCAGCTGGACAAGGAAGCTTTGGCCGCAATTGCAAGAGTCAAACACTTCCATGAATACCTCTACTGCAAATCTTTTGAACTTGTGACCAATCACAAGCCACCAACCACCAACCACTACAAGTTTTGTGCCCTCACATGCTGTGCTGGACTGTGTTCTTAGCTACATACAACTACTGCCTCCTGCATCAACTGGGTAAGACATTTAGCCACACCGATGCCCTCAGCTGATGCCTGTGCCTGACTGTTGTGGAGGATCTGGCTCCAGCATCATCTATTTTATTAATTGAAGACCTGCCGTCCAGTCCCATTATGGCATCCGAGATCGCTGCACACTCTGCCAAGGACCATGTCACCTAGTCAAGGCTCTGGAGCTACTGGTCTTGAGACGGAATCTCGTAGGTTGGGATGGACATATCGCCACCCTGCCTATCTAAAATACTACATATGTTAAATTGTTATTTGATCACTATAATACTCCGTCTTGATGGGGAGGGGTGATATGTATTGTATATAGTGTACATAGTTGTCAGTTGAAGTTCTCAATCTGATCCTCTGTTGGAGCAGGAAACTACTTTCTCCTGATTGATTGTTTGGCTGATCAGTTTCCTATAAAAGTAGCTCTGTCAGCCAGGGCATTTTTAGTTGCCTCACATGCAGTATTGAATAAAGAACTGTTAGAAATCACTCTGGCCTCACCTCCATTCTTCGCCCAGGACTTAACACATGCTATACTATCTTAAAATCCTAAACATCAGAAACCCACCAATTTAAAGTGTGGATTTCTTGTTTAGCCCAAGTACTTCAATAAAACATCTTTCCGACTATTTTTAAATGTGGTTTATTCTACAATTTCTGTTTTTAATGTGATTTGGGTACAACATTGTTCATTGAATAATAAACAAATATTCTTGTCAGCTTGCAAAGCATGAAAGGAAGATTGTGGAGGGTAGTACAGCTGGATTTAAAAGAAGTCAAAGAACTACATTCATGCTCCCTAAATATTTCTAAAGAGCAGAAAAATCATAAAATGTTTTTTTAAATTGTTATAATATGTGAAATCATAGTGAATAAACAACAAGCAGCATGTAGTAAAAATATATTATAATCATGGATTAATGTGAAAGTAAAAGAGAAACCAGAGCCGGTTTGTTGCAGTGGTTAAAGTATCAAGCTAGAAGGTGAAAGACTGTGAGTTTTAGCTTTGTGTTAGGCAAAAAGACAGCTGCATGATCTTGGGCCAGTCACTTTTTAGGAAGGAGGCAACAGCAAACCGTTCCTGAAAAACTTGCCCATAAAACCACAGTTACTTTTTTTTCCTTTTTCTTTCTTTTTTTTTTGGAGTTATTATTTATTTATTTATTTATTTATTTGTCAAGCATGTATGAGAAAACCAATATAAGTATGAACATAACATAAACACATAAGTATAAACGGGTATAAATATATACATAATAAATGAGTATGAATAAATGGGTAAATGGGAACAAGTAGGACAGGGATGGTAGGCATGCTGGTGTGCTTATGCACACCCCCTTACAGACCTTTTAGGAATCAAGTGAGGTCCACAGTAGATAGTTTAAGGTTAAAGTTTTGGGGGTTTGAGGATGTAACAACAGAGTAGTGAATTCCAAGCATTGATCACTTTGTTGCTGAAGTTGTATTTTCTGCAATCGAGTTTGGAGTGGTTAACATTGAGTTAGAATCTATTGTTTGCTCATGTACCGTATTTGCCGGCGTATAAGATGACTTTTTTGCCCTGAAAAAGATGCCTCCAATTGGGGGGGTCGTCTTATATGCCGGGTCGTCTTATACGCCGGCAAATAGTAATTGGGAAGCACTGCGGCTGCCC